ATATGCCTTTGTTGTCAGGGGGGCAAATCTCTAAAGAATATCGGAAAATGCATGGCATTTACTGCTGCTACTAGTGGGAGTCATACCTTAAAAGGGATAGGGACTTAATGAAACGAATCTAGCAACTGATACATCGGGAAATCTTCACAGGCAAGCCGGCGTTGAGTGCAATAATCAAATTAACTTTAAGTAATTTTCAATTTATAAGTTTCGAGACTACCAGTTGATCTAATATAAGAGCTGCATTAAACATATTTTTTAAGGCGGTGAATGACTGGAAGTTGAATTTTCTCATAATGAAATGAACAGGCCTTATGCTTCCCGAAAGGTATGTTCGCCTATGAAGAAGTGGCGTCAGTTTCTGCTTCATCTAGATCACATCAGCATCCTGAACGGGACTCTAACTCGGGTAGTGCATCGTATAGTCTCGATACGTTAACAACTTCCCGGGTTCGAGTCCCGTTAGGTAAGTTTATGATACGTAGATGAAGCCGAAACTGCAGTCCACTTCTGCCTGGATGATAATTCCTTTTAAGAAGCAAGGCTATGTGAAATTATGTGCAAACATGAGGCCTACTCATATACTTTTGGGAACAGTTAACTGCCAGTAACTTATCACCTTAAACGAAATAGGGTAAATGCAGCTCTTTAAATAATTCTGATTGTCAATGTTATTGGACGTGCTATTAAAATTCATAGTTACGCCTAGTGTTTAGTCAGTTGGTGAAGGTACCAGTTTGTCTCAGACGAACGTCATCCAAAGGTGTAGCCATTATTTGGCTACGATCTCTTTTTCTAACAGACTACACACTTCTGCTGGGAATAAAAAAGTAACCAAGACTTTAATAACTGGACCATTGTTTGCCCCTCTTCGAGGTGTGTTTTAATTCGGCAAACCTCAAATTTTAAGAGTAGATATGAAGACCAAGATGGTGTGGCCTTCTGTTTGGTCGCAATCTCGTTTACCTTTATAGTGTTGGTTCGACCTCGTTTTTGCAACCTGGTCGGAGCGTCAGAGAGACATTGTAGAACATACCTAGTCCGGGTCAAGGGGATTGCCTTCACTTATCACTTTGATAATTTGTAACTCTGTTTTGGCGATGACACCTCTCACTAACGGTGCCGGCGAAATGTTTGGGAATGTACTAAGTCAATTGTCCGAAGCTGGAAATCACGTCAACTATGGCAGTAGACACAGGATTTGGTATGTTCCACAAGGTCTCCCTGATGCTCCGATCAAGTTGCGAAAACAACGTCGAACCAATAATCAAATGTTATTTCAATTATTGGTAGTCATAGTTCCCGATATGTATAAAGACCAAGATGGTGTGGTCTTTTGATTGGTCGCAGTTTCCTTTTGTTGTATAGAAGTTATTTGACCTTGTTTGCGCAACTTAGTCGTATTGGTAGGACGACCTAGAGGAATGCATCTAGTCCGGAGTCTATAGTGTGCATGATAGTTTCCAGAGTCGGAAGGTACCACGTTCATGGTCCGACTCTGTAAATTATCTTGCTTACTATGGACTCCGGACTAGCTGCGTTCATCTAGGTCATCCTAAAAATATTAACAAGTTGCGAAAACGAGGTCAAACAACTTCTATACGTTAGGATATTTGCGAACCGTACAATAAAATCATTAGTTTATCGATTTTAATGAATAAAATTGGGTCGTCTATTGATACAAAAGATTTAGGTTGCAGTGGACCTGCTTTAAACTGAAATCCGGTTAATTCTACGAAACTAGATTCATGCAAATAAACTGAGAAAAATCCTACTGTGGCAGCGAAGAAGGCAATGAGATGTCGTCGACACTAGGTGAAACCAATATTTCGCACGTTTGCCGAAGTAAAATCTGTAGAAAAAAAGCGAGCCTTTTTTCCTCATGTAATCGGGGAATCGCAAGAGATATTTGCGAATCCATAAAAGTGATGCTGACAAAGAGGCAAAAATACTATTTTGTATTTTTTAACTTGTTAACTTTTGATGCTAGGCTTTAGCTTCACTTAGGTGATCACCGTCAAAAGTTTCCAGAATCGCATGACCTAGTTCGCTAATTGACCTTTTAGGGAGACGTCTACGTAGCCGATGGATACTGTAATCAGCGGATCGTGGTATTCCATCCGAATGGAACTTTCAAGATGAGCTGGCCTTCAACTGGTGTTCTCAAACGAGAGGGCGATACACGGCCTTTTGGTGATTGGCGATTTGGCGAAAACTCAGCCGACCAGTTTTACAGGTGAGGCGCTTCTGCTTCCATGGGCTTGATGACACTGTCTACTTTTAAGCCCATACGAGACGACTGTAAATTTCTGGCTAGGAATTATTCTGGCAATAACCTTTAGATTGATACAAGTTTTATGTCTTCTCTTTTCGGGCAATCATCTATGTTGTTAGCAGGTCGGATGGAATATTTTGCATAAACGGGTTTTTTTTAGACTTTAATTTGCTATATGGCAAATACATAGGCATCGAAACTTCGGATGTATTTTGAATAAGAGCCCAAGTCAACCTGGGTCTTTTAAGGAGATTTTATTACGGATTGTTGAATGTGCCACAATAAAATGAGTAGAAGGCGTCAGAATGTCATTACATTTCACTTTTGCACAGCTCTTGTGCCTTTTTGCACTCATCGTCTCTTCATGCAGGGCGAGCGTGAATTTACACTTACTTTCATTCTGACCCATTTATTAATCTCAGTTCTTATGCAAGTCTTCACAGCAATCTTATCTCAAGAGATTTTTCGAAATCCGCATTGTCTTCGTATTTATAACACATGCTTGCATACACATATGCACAAAGCTTAAATTAAGGATAGCTAGAGGGTCGGCATTGAATATGTATTTGTATTATTTCATTTAGGGTGATAACGGGTCTGGTAGTTGAATTTCTCGACAATGCTATGAGTAGACCTTACATTTCCATAAATTTCACATAGCATTCCTCCATATAATGTAGACTTCAATTTCAACCTCGCCCAGGTATCATCAACACCCCTAGTGGGGCTCGAACCATGACATTGTAGCGTATGATCTCGACACGTTAGCCGCTACGCCACAATGCCATGGGTGACCTTGAGTTACAGTGCAGATGTGAATTGCAAGAAAGGCCAGGCATTTTTGCAAACTTCAACTCTAAATGAAATAAAATGAACACATCCTCTCATACCTGCTTAATCAAAGGTCTTCTTATTCAGCCTGGACTTCTACTTCGCCCTCACCCGGGTCCCGTCAACATTGCTTACAGGATTCGAAATCGGGTCTTGGGTATCAATCCTCAACGTGACCACTCCGCCACACAACCAGTAGGTACCAGTGGGCCACTGGGACTGTTACTTATAAAGCAAACTTGTATTTGCCATTGTGATCAACATTGCTAATACTTGCTAATCAGGTAAATTTTGAAGCTATCAATAGATCTTAAATAAGAACCAGAGTCACATTGGATTGGGAATATATTTAGACAGGCTACGCAGAGCCTTTTATGCATTTGATTATAGGAAAATTCAACTCTCAGTCTTACATCACCTTAAGTGGCCAAGGTGATTCGAATTATGTATGACATAACTACACCCTCTTGCTATTCTTATTATCTCTCCTCTTCCAACATACAGCGTGGCATATCACTCGCAATCCGAAGACTACTCTTTCGGTGCCTATCCTTCTCTCTCGCGACCACTACCTTTTGCGATTGTCCACAGTCTCACTTTGGTACCACCGATTGTTGTCAAATCAGGGCCACTAAATGCGTCTTCAATCTCCACTCCCGCCACAGTCAGTGAGTCTAATGTCGGATCTGATGATACGGACAAGCTAGAAGAGACTAGCCTAGAGCAGATATGTGCTGCGGACCGTGAGAATTCAGCAATTTATTGCTACGACCTAGAAGGCAGCCCAATTGCTCACTACACAGGAACGGCGGTGCTTAGGCCCTCGGTCTACTCGATCGCTTACAGCGTAAAGCATGAGTAAGTTACTTACCAGAATAAACGTTTTTTAATTTATTTTTATTTATACCGTATATATATATATATTCAGTTATTTATATTATTTGTATTATATATATCTTATCAAGCCATTTGCAGTTATGTTATACTCTTCCTTTGCACCCAGAATGTCACTTGTAACAATCAAAGAGTTTAATTGTCAAATTCATTATCTTTCATGTATAGACTTCGTTCGTCTTTTGCTCTTGGTTTAGTATATTTTTGCTCTATTTCGTAAAGTATGGATACCTCCTCTGATGATGTTTGTCACAGTACAGACGAAAGCTTAGCACAGTTTCATCGAAGTCGCAGGACGATGAGCCAAGGACTTCTTTACACAATTCAACATTCTCCCCTACGCGACAATCCTCCTTTGGTTTCCGGTGCGACCACATCACGAATTCCCTCCAACCAACTTTTCCTTCAGAATGGAGAATCGTGTCGCAAATTTTAAATCTGGTGTAAATTCAAAGTTGGAGTGGCTTTTAATGGTACTCAAAAATCCCCCACATACACACCTGCATTACGCACTGGTTTTTGTTTAAAGTTTTGTTTAATTTATAATCACCTTCCGATACTTCACAGACGATTCAAGATTCAGTTAAATCCACATCGCAACAGTTTTACCAATACTTTTCGATTATATAATATGGATGAAAAGAACAATCTTTCAGGCATAATCTTCCTGAAATTATCCTCTCTAATTGGCCAAGTTCATTCAATGATTTTTATCTATTCGTTTTAATTCTCTTTGTTCGTCCTATGTAATTTCTCTAAAGGGGGTTGCGATTTGGTCTTAATACTCAGTTTTAGCGCCTTGATTTCTTTTCGCACATTCATTTTTCTGAGATGCTGGTGTATTTTCATACCGTATTTTTATTAGCTGGTTTTATCTCACAGAATATGAATCTTAAAAGACTTTTGAATAGTATATTTGTCCAAAACTTTGAGTGAATGTCGCCGAAAAGAGAGTCTTTTTGTGAAATAACTCTGCATTTCAAAGAAAACTTTGGTCGGCAAAAATTATTGAATTGCTCTTATCGGTAATCGAAATAGGATTATCTTGGAACAGTGAAGACTATTAAGTTGTGCTAAGCCGTCTTCGGCTCACCGTCCTGCCGCCACAATGAATTCGTGTTAAGCTTTCGTCTGTCGTGTGAAAGATGTCGCCAAAAGTCGTCATTTACGAAAAAACGTACTAAATACAATAAGCCAAGAAATAAGGATGGCCTGCTACGATGTAAATTTGCGACCCTAATTAGGCACCCCATGATTTGTTCGGTTATTTTGTGTCTACCTTTCATTCTTGCAGATATGAAATAGCCAACTTAATCATGGGAGGCCTTATCAGAATTGTGAAGCTGGGCATAACAAGTGAGATGTATTCACCCTATTTCGTCTGAGGTCATGAAGGACCCAACACTTCTACTCGAAATGGAAGTAAGCTCAACAATAACAAGTGAGTTCATTGCAGTGGGCCCCTTAGTTCTTGGCTTATTGCATTTGATACGCGTTTTCGCAAGTAATCCTTTCTGTTTCCGACGACGTCTTTCACATGACAGACAAAAGTTTAGCAAGGATTCCTTGGAGTCAAAACACGGTTGGCTAAGGACTTCTTAGCGCAACCCAACAATCTAAACTCCTCCAAGGCAATCCTGTTTCATTTTCCGGTGGACCTGATTCACAAATTCCTTTCAATCAACTTTCCTTCTAAAAGGAAAAGTCATATCACAACAAATCCCTAAGGGATTCTTTGAAACCCAGCTTACTTGATCTTACCGTTTGTCTTTCTGGTAAGGCGAAGGAAGATGGCTAGGAATAGTTTTATATTCAGCTTCCAACTCGTTTGAATTTGTCCTTATTTGTTTCCCTATACGGCAGAGGAGCAGAAAAATGTATGACTCTAGAATTATATTGGTTCCGCTTGACTCTGTTTATCCAACCTGCTCTTTTCTATACTGGGTGCCAGAGAATGCGCTTATGAAGTGATGAACAACTTGAATGGAATTTCATAATCATGACATCTCATCTTATTTCAAGAAGACTCAACTATACGTCCTTACGACTCCATAAGTGGTTTAGACTTACTAACTTCTTATTTAGGAAATACTGATAGCATTGAAAACTAATTTCACTGAAAATCATTTCCCTGTAGGCATTTGGAATAGCTTGTCCATCCTAATTTCAGTTCACTTCCTGGCTGTATTTGAGTTTGCGTATTTGTTGCTAACACCATCTAAAGATTTCAAAATACGGCCAATGACTCTTTCTGAATTGTAGTTTGTGCAAAAAGCGGAAAGTTGGTGGAGGAAGAACTTTCAGGTTATTTGAGATGTTGCTTTATTTGAACTCCTTTGATATGGCTATTATAGTACACTTTGTTCTAGAAGTTTCTATTTCGAATAAGGCCCTCGAGGACTATGCGATATCTAGAGAGAACTTGTGGGCGAGTTGCCGTGTCACATTATTAGGGTCACACGATGACAAGAGAAACGTGGCACAAGCAATCCCATTAAAACATATGAAATTATTTCTTACCTCAAAATTTCATCCACTTAAAAACGGTATTTTCATGTATTTCCTAAAATGTGACTCATGTTTGATATATATATA